AAACGCATTTCGAAAATGTTATTGAGTAAAGCAAAAAACGGTGCCAATGGGAAGGCGGCTACGAACAATGTAACAAAGCCATACTGTAGCACTATAAATGAAGGGTAAAAAAGATGTTGTGACTGTGGAAAAAACAAAATAACTGCCACACTTACCCATTTCTAAGTACTCCGGAAACAAGCTGCGCGGACCCCAGTCCAGTAATTTCAAATCACGCAAATAGCGCTCCACTTTTTCCTTATTCACATCATGAGTCGTGCTGCTAAAGAGACGTGAGAGACCCACTTGTATGGCCATAATTTTGCGCCATATCTTTGGCATTATCACTTCCAGTATGGAGTTAAAGGTTTGTTTGCCAATCATAATGATTGCCAGCTGAATGCAAAGTTCAGTCAAACAGCCGCCGGAAGAGCACTGTAAGGAGATAAAAATAAAATATAATTTGTTATTATAAAAGGGGAAGGAAAGCGAAGTCGATGTATCAAACGCGTACCTCTTCCTGTCGATAGTCAAATATCTTGTTATATTGCCCTGGATGTCCCACAAATTTTCCCTTGAAAAACGCTATATAAAATATGGAAGCATAATAGTTGACAAACTGTAACAAATAAATCTTTAGCGTCAGTGAGTCATCGAACTGGGTTTGCGTGCGCCACATTTCCAATTCAGTCAGGTACTCAGCGAGTTGTGTATACATCTGATAAGTAAAATGGGAATAACTTTGGTAACTTTTATTAATTTCCGGTAAACTTACGTAGTTCAACACATAGAGCAGACACAAGTTGACGAAAGCCGCTGACGCTGTAGCCAACATAATTGCGCTCGATGTAGTCATTGTACTAGAACCCAGTTTAAGCGTCGCCAGCATAGACATGCGGTATACAACTACCGCTACAAGCGCCACAAAAGCCAAAAATATCAATAAAAATACAACCGAAACACTAAAAATGGTGGCAGGAAATTTCATGCGCCAAAATGGCACTGTGGGTTCTTTAATATTCGTTACATAGTCGACGCGCGTGCGCGTATTTTTTAACTGTTCCAAACGTGTCAAGTACTCGGGACGTGGATGCTCTTCGTGTACATCGAAGCCAGTTAAATCCCAGCGATGCGTTATCTCAGCAGAATAACGTTTCCATAACTCTAAAAAGAGTGTAGCCCAAAAGGACATAAAGACGGCAAAGAACACAGTACTAGGATTATCAAAGAGGTAGGTAATTTTGGCATAAAAACATGTCTCCTTGAGGTACCAAAAATTGCACCAATCACATAGAGGGCACATGGTAAGATTTTTAGTACGTTCGTTGGCACATACATCTTGGCTGTAAGTGAATAGAATAAAAAAAAATTTAATATAATTTGAGTGTTGTTTTTGCAGTGAATATGGTAAACATACACTGGCACATAATCTTTTAAAGTTATCAATGAGTATACAAAGCAGATGACACCAATCAGCGAGGCAAGCAGCAGCATGTAAGTGTAGTAGCCCAACCAAGCAAAGTACAAACCTGTAAGGAATAATAAAGGAATTTAGCTATGTTTTAATTCATAAGAAAAAGAGCCATTTTTAAGTTGCTCAATTACCAATTTTTACGCCAAAGTACTCTTTGACATAGTCGAGCGGTTGATAGCGATACCATTTGTTGACGGAGGCCCAGTGAGTGTACAGTGCCTCACGCATAGTACCCTTCTCTGTGATTTCGCCCTAAAACATAAAGCAATAGATTTGAAATTGTACAGCTATTTTTTATGAAGTTAGCGCATTTTACAAAGTCTTAAAGTTTGTATGATTATAGAGGTTTCTAAGTGAAATCTTGAAATTTTTATGAAATAAAGAAAAATATGTTGAAATAACTATGTAAGTCTTAAATTTTTCAAGTCATCGTATTAAGTTTTCTCGTAGAAGTGGCATCGAACTGATACTGTAATGAAAATAAATTCCGAAAGTAGCGGCTCATGGATTCAGCTAATGATGACGATGCATTATACGCATTCTATTATAGCAATTAATCGAAAATAAAATCACAAAATTTTACTTACATCGTGCAACGGATAAGCTGCGCAATAAATATTTGATTCCACTAAACGATCAATGCCAAATGCACGCGGATCCTTGCTGCGCTCCTCGAAATATTGGCGATCCAATATGAACTGAACTATACGTGAACGCACTGCATTGGTGAAGAAGCAACGATGATGGATGTCGAATCTGAAATCAAAAACATATTTACGTAAATCATGAACACTTTTCAACAAACAAGTATCGAAACTATTTAAAACTCACAAATATTCCTTATCACGACTATAGATGGCTGTGAAACGATGGGCGCGACGCGGAAATATACCTTCATCCACAAATATGTGACGCAGGAAAAATTGTACAACACTTTTGAGACTAGAAAACATGCTTCTGGTCGAGCGATTCACTGCAGACATGCCTGGTATCTAAAAAGACGAGCGAAGATTTAGTTTATTGATATTAATAAGCGCCAAAGATTAGTATAACGATTCTATATGGAAATAAAGCAGCAAAGGCCAAACACAGTTAAACGATATTGAAATATTCCAAAGGGTATGTAAGAAATAAATAATTAAATAATTGCAACATTAAGTGCCTATGGCGTTTATAGTATACAGCTGAAATATAGTTGACAACAGCAGAGCAGCCGGCAAAGTGTTCGCAACCGAATATTTACATGAACTAAAGCGCTAAAGTGAGCAGAAGCGAATGAGAGATTTGGAAGTAAATTGCCGATAGTTAGCAGCGACTTTTTTTATTTTTTTTTTTATTTTAAATAAATGCAAATATTTTGTGTTGGCATGTTGTATGTAAGTTATTCAGACCTTTCGTGATAGATACTGCGCTGCATGATGCAAACGACTGTATTTGCTGTAAACTGTGGTACTACAAAGATCCTGCAATAGTAGTGCATTAAATAGAAATTAAACTTTGAGTGGAAAGACATACAAAGTAAATTTGTTGCAATGCTTAATAACTAAGTAACAGGGGATGTAAATTAATATTCAAAAAAATTTATCTAATAGCGCCATTAAAAACTTATTTTATGAAACATCTGTGGGGTTCTAATACATTGGCATACTACAAAATGAAATTTTTAAGGGTTTAAACTTTTTGTTTTTACCTACATAATAAGGAAAAACAAAGTCTACATAATATTGCTGAAAACGAAAAAAAGAAAATTTGTCATTTAATTTAGCAGTAATCAAGGAATTGGATGCAATTTCAACCTTTATCAGTTAAAATGGAAAATATGAAAACATTTAAATCAATTCATTTTTAATCGGAAAGCGGATTTTTCATTTAAAAATTTTAAATAATTATGTATGTACATACATATATGTATGTAAAATTAAATTTGTAGTAATAAATATTATGGAGTAAAAACTTTTTTAGAACACAGTGTGAACTAAAAATTTTATGTGTTATCCTTGAAGCTATCTTATCTTAATACGAATTATTAAATACGATCAATATAACTACATACACCTAAATACATACATATGTACATATATTCTTAGACATGGAGAGTGATTACGCTGCCTCAAACGGAAAGTGAGTATAAGTAGTATTTGTACAGGGTCTGCGAGGATTTAGCATTTCGATGCCTTAGTTTTTTCGTTTTGTCCGGAAAAGATATTAGGTTAGATGAAAAATAGTATTGTATTCCTAAATTATCTGCATACGCAGCACTATTCTTGCATACGAATATGAGTTCTATGTATGGCTTTTTAGCGCTCATATAATGGTTTTTAGGGCCTCAACGAAAGTGGGTGAACGTTTCACAAATTAAGAAGCTCTTGCATGTGATTTAAGAATAAACTAATATCATACATACATAATTACATTATTGTCTTCCCACGTCAGCCTGTTCCACGTATCGGATCGATTCAGCTTTTCTCTGGCAATGTACAGTTGGTTTGGTAGTCTAGCCCTATTTAATCGGCGAACCCTTCCAATAGTTGTTCGTTATTAAAACAACACCCCGCCGTAAAATTGCTGCGTACTCTTCTCCTTCGGACTGGCATTGAGTCGAGCATAGAAACAGAAAAACATTTCTGCTGTTTTTGCCAGAAATTCTTACACCAGTGGTAAGAGCACCTTAAGGCCTGTAGCTTTACTTTCAGTGTGAGTAAGCTTTAATAAATCGCAAGATCCATCTCCATTCGCGATAACAGTGTGCATATTTCATTCGGTGATCGCGCCTCATCGGACCCGAAGTGAGCTTTAGCCGGCATTCACACTGCATACTTCCGTGAATAAGGCTAAGCACCGAGTTATCAAAAGGCTTCAAACACTTAGGTTAAACGCATTGAAACAAAAATGTTTGAAATCGACGCTACAAGAAAAGTCCATAAAACCAAAAACCAAAATTTGTTTGTTGGAGCTACCCCGCAAAGTATTAATTTTTTTTCGGCCGTTCATATTTGATTCAAGTTTTTTGAGGGTTGAATATAATGGTTATATAATGGAACCATTTTTCCCTCGTAGGCCATTATGTCAGCTTTCGAACCCATATTTGTCCATCGTACACAAAATTTTGCCTTATCATTGCCTTCTATCAGTATTTTTGCGAAGGGGGCAATGAGAAGGTAAAATTTTTCGATCGAAAAGAAAACGCCAAACCATCTCTTCACATTCGCCATAAAACCCACTCAACTAACACTTCTCTCGCTTTTGTCCGGGCCCGCCGTAACAGCACGTTTGCTGCGCCCTTTCTTTGATAAAAAAATAAATAAAAAATAAAAATCTCACTATAGACTCTAAAGACAAGAATCATTTTCAAAGTCAATCTAATTATAAAAAAAATTAAGAGGTGGAACAATACTCCTTTGAAGTTTGACAGCCGCGCATGGATACTAACGTGTTGGGCTTTATTTGGTTGAGGTCCTAAAATGTATGTCACTATTTTGGTAGTATGATGCTACCGTAACTGCTATTTTCTACACAAGAACAACAAAGTAAAATAAAAAAAAAACTATAATTACCTCCTTCATAGGCATACGTAGCTTTAAAATTTCTGCATAGCAACGCAACACATCCAATGGTGCATGTATCTAGAAACAATTTCAAAATGAATAAAAATAAAGCACACTTAACTGAATGCTAGCCAGATTAAATTTGCATTCGCTTACCTTCACAAAATGTATCTGCTGCTGCTCCTTATAGTCCAACTCCATTTGCAGGCCATGCTCCAATAGATTGGCTTCAAATTTAAAACGCTTATGTGCGTTAAGCGCCTCCTGTGCAGCATCCGGATCCACCTTGTAGGCAAGCACAAAATCAATCAAACGTACACCATCCGCAAAGAAAAGTGTTTCATTGTATTTGATTGGTGGGCAGCAGTCTTCTTCATTTACAAAATTACACTCTAAAATATTATTATCAGTCATTGGCGCTAAGGGTGTTGAGTACTTTGAGCTATTTTTGGCTGAATTGTTGCGTTGATGTCGCGATGCCTCTGCATCGAGTGTCAGACTCGTTGTGTGTTGAAGTTTTCTTTAAAAGAAGAGTGGAATCTGGTTAGTAATTGCGCTAAGTTGTTATATGCAATTATTTTTTCTATTTAATACATGAACTTTCTCTGTTTAGCTATCGAGTGCTGAGCGTGTAGTACTAAAATGTGAAGCACATCGCTTTGTTGAAACATATATTTTTCTCCATTTAACCACAGAACTTGCGATTTTCATTAACATATAAATGAAATATTTCGCACATGCTGTTTTAACTATTCACCGCCTTCTCCTGACAGTCAAGTTTATTCCCTAGTTAGGAATTTTCACTTGGTTTGTATGTGTGTTTGCCTACATGTGTATGCTTTTATCCCATTAAATAGTATAACATCCAGGGTGCGACGCCAGACACTAGCAAACGTTTTGTTACCAATTTTAATATTCTCAGTGGAACCGCTGAGTTTCTCTCTAATATCTAACACGCACTCATTAAAATGTTTTTAAATACATGCTAGTCGTATATAGCACGCCTATTATTTGGATAGCAGATATATAGCTCAAACATACAGTGATTCAAACAAGTGACCACGTGTAGATTTTTTTAATATTCGTAATGTTTTTCGAGTTAATTTTTTTTCTATAAAAGATATAGTCCAAGCTTTAACCAAAACTGTATAAATCAGAGTTTCAAACTTTATAAAAACTTTAAGAAAATTCAACAATTTTCATCACAATTTCAACTATTAAATCAGAGCTTTAAGAACATTTTTGGGTATGCAGCTTTATAGCCCATACAATTTTAGTCGAATGAAGAACAAGTTTAAACCGGCTAAAAAATCGCGTTGGGTTTTGAGAAAAAAAATTAGCTCGAAAAACATCGATGGCTGAGTGGAAGATCGACCTATCACGGCAGCCAGTTCGAAAACGCCCTATCTCAGAAAATTTTTCAAGAACGCCCTACATCAGAATTTGATTGGAAAACACCCTACCTGAGAATTGGGTTGAATAACGCCCTATCTGCCGATTTAAAAACTCCCTATCTCAGCTTATTTTCAATGTATTTTCGTTTGAGATAGGGCGTTTTTGAACCGAGTTCTGAGATAGGGCGTTCTTCAACAAAATTCTGAGATAGAGTGATTTTCAATAAAATTCTGAAGTAGGGCGTTCTTGAAAAGTTTTCTGAATAGGGCGTTTTCGAACTGGCTGCCGAGATAGGTCGATCTTCAACTCAGCCATCGATATATTTATAAAAAATCAAAACGTGATCACTTGTTTGAGTCACTGTATGTATAGCTAAAAGCTTTCTAAGGGGCTCTTTATGGGAATGCTCTCAACAGGATTTCAGATGCATATATGGTTATAAAAAAGAGCAAGGAATAACAGCTTAAGTCGAGTTAAGACTTGAAAATTTCTGACCGGAAAAAAAATGTCAGACTACATTTAAGTTCAAAATAAGATTACACGGTGTTACAAAATAAAAAAAAATCCTCGAACTTTTTAAGTAATACGCTCAAATTTTTTAACTTTACCTTAAAAAACCATTTTCGCCTGACTTCCGGCAACAACGATTACTTTTTAACCAATTTTAAGTTTTTATATGGCTTTAGAAGGAACTATATTTGTAATTTTTGAAGAAATTACGAGTTTTATAAGCGCATTGTAAATATCTGAAAATTTTTTGAATAAATCTGAAATTTACACCAACTTTTATTATTTTCCCATTTCTACATTTTTGCCAAAATTTAAAAAAAAATAGTCTCTCTTAATCATTACTTTTATAAGAATGTTTAACTCCGAGTAAAACTAGGCATTAAAATCAATAAAAAGATTATGAAATTATAACATTTTTTTAAAGAGACAAATTTAAATTTTTCTATACGAATTATTGAAACCTCGAAATGAATGCAATCCAACTGATTCAACTTTTCTGTGAAACTACATCGGAGTGATTTTGGAAAAATCTTAGAAAATGTATAACATTTAGTTTTATAAATGGTACCTATTTTTACTCGGAACTGAACATTCTTTTCGAGTTAATGACTGAAAGAGACTATTTTCTTTTTAAATTTTGAAAAAAAAAATTTGTTTGTTGTTTATTCCAAAAATTTAACAATGTGCTTACAGAATAAATGCATTATTTCTTTAAATAGTACAAATATTCTTCTTTCCAAATCCATATAAAAGCTTCAATTTAGTGCGTGTAAAAATGGTTTTTTAGGAATAAGTCGAGAATTTGAAGGTGTTACAAAAATTTTAAACGCAGTTTCGTGAATTACTCGACCAGCACTACGACCTGTACTAGGTCACTTAAAAAGTATTTATATATCTCCGAATTGTTAATGTAATCACAAACTTTTCTCTTGATTCAAAAACAGTATATTAAAAATGTATTTCCTGCAGAATGTCTAGAATCGATTTAAGTTGTTGTGGTTACAAACTACGGTTTTATCCATTTATCTTAACACTCTCTTCCCTTAGATTGCCTGACCTACATATTTAATCGAGGGTAGTAAAGCGTATGTATGTATGTACGTAATCATCTCCTAAGGCACTTTCAATGCCTTCACAGCGAATGGCATTGAAATTTATTGAATGCAACAGGCGTTCATGGAAAACGTATTCGCCTGCTTACTAATACAATCACAAATACAGTTATACGAGTACATACATACATACATAGCTGGTTGTAGTGGGTGTATTTCTTAACTTTTAATATAACGGTAAAAAAAAACCTATACAAAATAGTCATAAAAACGTCGATAACGATAAATACTTAACTATAACTGCATACATATAAACATATCGATATTGATCAGTATTTATAACAACATTTTTAACAATATGTAATATCAAAACCCGGAGGATGGTTTCGAGCGCAGAAGTGGAAAACTTTTGACTGTCATTCACCTGGGAGTGGCCAGAAGTGATTCTTGTGCGTACGGTTGAAATCGCAGCTCATATCGTCTGGGTTTGGGTCCAGCCACGTTAAAACTCCGCGCAATGAAAGAGTTCAGAAAGTCTCGAATGAGACTTTGAAGGCTTTTGTCTTCCCGATGGCCATCTGAACCTCACCGCTAGTGAAAGTAAGAGGTACCTTATTTTTAGCAGCTTGTACAGCCTTTTTCTCACTCCTTGTTTGGTGTTATTTGCCTTAGAATGAAATGTGAATTGTCGGCTTAACTAACCCGCACATCGCTTCAGGTACAATGAGACGCGATCAGCAAATGAAATGTCGACACCACCATAAAACTTCGTCAGACAGGGACCTTGAAGGTGACCAAAACTTTTTCAGGTATCTTAAATAGCAGCTATCATATCAATATTCCATGCGGACAAATAAAGGTTGGCCGATCTAACCCTGTTCGTGTAAAACCGGACTTATTACGGTACGTAGGACCGGCTGTATCATCGCCAGTCTACAGACTGCTTGTCATTTTTATGGGTTTGTTGCAGATAGGAAAATTACAAAACGAAAACACCAGCTTTGAATGACGTAAAGCAATCAATTCGATCAACAATTGAGGCTATTCACACTCCAATTCCAACATTTTTACTAACCATAACAAAAATTTATTAGTCTTTTAAATTAATTAAAAAAAAAAAAACATGTACTCATCTGCCACCTTATAAATTAACGGGAAAGGAATTTCATTTTATGAAGCATCTTATTTAATAATTGAGGTATACTTAACGGCCGCAAAAATGCACTTACCACTTAAAAAAATATTTCCCGTGTTTCGGTAAAATAAGCAAAAAATTGCTTCCTCGTTAATATTTTGTACTGGCTACTTTTAAGTTGTATATGTGTTTATTTTGTTATACAAAAAAAAAAAAATAACGATATTTAAATAAATTATTTGGTTTTTCTAAAACATAATTGTCTACTAAAATTTCTTATTAAACGCCCAAATATTTAGTAACACATATGTAGATGTGTGAACTACATTAGACCGGATCACCTTACAAACAAACAAAAAAGATCGCCGCACACCCCAAATGTAAAGTATGTACTATGTATGTATTTTTGCAATGCAATTTCGAAAAAAAAAAATATTTATTCGTACTCTGAAGTCCGGCAATAAAAAATGTTTTTAAATAGTTTCACTGGATTAATCGAAATACTTCCTTAGCAAGAGTTTAATGATTTTTGGTGAGCTTTAATTTACTGACATTAGGGTTGCACGTTACGCTGATTGGAACTGAGATCTCGGGAGTATACTAGAACGGAGTACTTGAGGTCAATGAACAAAAATGAGGACAATAAACAAAAAAAAAATTATCCATGAGACAAAACATCTTTCAAAATTTCCTTGCATGTACATATCGCACATGTAGATCTAAAGTGCGATCAACTAAAAAAAATTTGGGCGATTTTTATTGCATAAATCAATTCATAGGACTCACATCCAATTAATGTAAATATATTTTTCTTCATGGTTTAACACTTGTTGTTATATTAATTACGTTAAATCTGTACAATCCACAAGCAGTTAAATTTTCCACTCAGAATTTGGAGTTAGCTCACTTTAGATCTAGGTGTGCGATATTATGTACATACATAAGTACATATCGAGCCCTAACCGCCAAAATAACGTAAGAGACATTTTTTTTTTAATTTTCTTTTTGATGCAGAAATGTATCTAGATGCTCCAGGAATATTTCTGCATCAAAAAGAAAATTTTGAAAAAAGATGTCGCTTACGTTATTTTGGCGGTTAGCGCTCGATATGTGTAAACCCGCAAAAAAAAATAATTTTTTTTTATAAAATTGTGTTGAATTGTATTAAACATTCACATTCGCACTTATGTATGTATATTAATAACTTACTGATAAATATAAAATTCTGAAAAATAATGTGCAAATCAGCGAGAGGCAAATAAAAATGCAAGTATTTTTTTTAATACACGTAAAAGTTGGCAAAATAAAATAAACAGAAGAGAATGACAAATCAAGAAAAGCGGAGGCGCTATCACAAACAAACAACAAATGCGGTCGGTATTAAGTAAGCCAGACGGCACAGCCACGTAAAATAACAAAAATGATAAAAATATAAAAAAGACAACAGACCACAGTACAGTAGAAAGATCAAGTATTAAGTATTAAGCTAAGAAAAGCGTGCACACAAATATGAAGGTGTTGAGGTGCTGAAGGCGCAAGCAAAAAAAAATTTAATGACTCGACTGTTGGCAAAATATGAACTTCGAGTCTTGCCAATTACTTTTATTTTGTTATAATTTTTTTTACGCTACACTGAAGGTTGGACATTTTTCGATGATTAATAAACAAAATAAACGTGCATAGAGAATTCCTTATAAATCCAATGGCATACATACATAAGTACATTTATGTAACCCGCAATTCAACAAATTAACAACGTTGAGGGGGATTTTCATAAATTACTTATTTTAAATATTTATTTACTCTTTTTGCCACTGTTTGCTTTTCAGTAGAAGCATTCACAGCACTTTTAAGCAAATGTGTATTAGCTGTGTTGTTATGAATGTCTGCACCTGTTCAAGCTGCTAGTCTTGTATTTTTATCTATTTTATCTTCAGCTTTCCTAATCGTACCACTTTGAGTTCATATGTATGTTAATTCCTTAGCCATACCGAAAAAAAGAGGAACAGATCTACAACCGCATGGCACCCGCAACTAACTAGACAAATAATCCGGAATCGTACACATATCAGTGACGCGGACGACGTTCCACTACAAACTGAGAAAATTGCCTTTCTCACTGGACGCCAAACAGCCCAACGTGGCCCCACTCACTGAAAGAGCTAAACGCGCGCAGCTCCGTCTATATACGTTAGCGTGAACAAATTAGCATCCAAAAATATGTACATACATACATCTGTATGTATGGATGCACATACATAGTCATGCAAAGGTATATGGGCTGTATGGATCCATAGGCAGATATGAGTACATATTAAGCTAATGAAAACATTAGCTGCTATTCTCAGTAACTAAGTGATTAACCCAGCTTACTTGCTGACTAAGGGGAATGTATAGCAGCAGCTGATTGACCGTCCATTTAATACTTTATATTATGTTAAAAAATAAAATTCAAGGAACTCCGATGTTTCTCTTGCGTGTGCATATAGAAAATTATATACATATGTGTGCCTTTACTCTATAAGGGAAGGTACATATGAATATTTAGTTGTACAGACTGGATGTAAAAATTTGATTATTTCTTCCGGTTTCTTTTACCGCTTTTGTCTATTTACTAGCAGTTCACTTAATCGGTAATAATTCCAATAATTAAAGGCATTAAGTAACAAGGTTAAGGCCGACGCTTTTTAATAGTTTTTTAAACCAGTTTTCATACAATTAATGATCTCTTAACAAAGGCATGAACGCCTTATGGAAATAGGTTTTTAGGATGGACATTTGGTATCAGATTTACTTCTATCTTCTATACCAAATAAGGTACGTACGGTGTTCGGTGTGTGGTAGTATCTTCCTTGCGCTTTACTTCTTCCTTTTTGCTTTACTAATATATAACGTAAAAATTTCGGTACTAAAAGCTGAAAGAAAACATGGACTACATCGTAAGGTGCTTGCCTATTTTCCAATTGGCATTTATTTGTGACAGCTTTTCGGTTTTTTTTTTTTTTTTGTATATTATTTAACATATTTGATATGAACCTTAATTAAATACCTTAAAGAAGAATGATTTTTATGAATTAAAGAACCAGCAAAGCCTCCTCCTAAAGGCCTTATAAAAAATACTCCTACAAAGGCCCTTCTGGAAGCCCTTTATGGGTATCGGAAGCAGAAGCCCCTTAATTTGTGCCACTCTATAGAAAAAAAAGAAAGGAGAAAGGAATCCAAAGTGGAAAGCCTCTTTACTTTCAAGAAGGCCTTTTGGAAGGCCTTTTACCTGCTTAAATTATCTACTTGGCATATAACAGCATGCATATATATTATACTAATTTTAGTAGTAGTAGAAAGAGAACTTAATCCTTACATTTGCTTCCATAAATCTCGCTGAAAAGGCAACACATGATGGACTACTACATCAAAATGTCTTCATTTTCTAGCAAACGCATTGATTGTACCGGGAGTTTTAACCTTCAGATATAACTTCATCTAAACGTGTTCATATGTATAACATCTGAAGTCCAAAAGTTGTTACAATTACATATCTCTATCTGCGCTTAAAAATTGTATACGCAACCGAACCACTCAGAACTGTATGTGGTCAATAACTGTCAACATTACCCAAAATTTTTGTTTTGGAAATTTTGATGTTGTTACTCTTTAGGTAGTTCGCAAATTCAAGAACGCTTTTAGTTATTTCATAATTAAAAGAAACAGCCACTTTTGTTTTTAATATTAAGTTTTTAAGAGATGGACATCGAGGGCATATATTCAATATGACCTCTCTGCAGTATTTGCAAAAATAAGATTCCTATATTAAAATCCACCTTAGACTTAACTGCCATCGATGATGCTAATGCTGACCTTGTATAAGTTAACTTGTAGAGTTAACTATTGAATTTCAAAGTTAGAGATTGCAACCAGTGATGGCAATTAAGTCCCAGATGGGTTCTAAGATCACAAAGTTGTTTTTGTATAAACTGCAGATATATCGTGTTGAATATATGTAAGCCCTCGAACCGTACGTACAGCAATTTCGATAACAAACTTGATTGAAATGCTTGAAATGCATGCTGCCTGAATTTTTCTCGAAGAAATATTTAATTTGGCAGATACTACCCACACCTCCAACAAAAAAAAAAATATGCATAAACAAAATCGACTTCATAATGCATGCACACGTCTGCAAAATCAAATTAAAAACGCCTGCGCATATACACTCGTATATTATAATCATTTTGCGAATTTATTGCTCCTACCTTTTATCAGCTGGCCTGCATAATCTCCTTGAGTTCCCGCGCAGCAGTTTGTCATCAAATTCGACGTATTCGCCGGCCCCACAATCGTCGCTGTTACCATTGTAGTAGTCAAGTTTATGACATTCGTACGCTTTGTCATCATCATGAGCGTTGATTCCCAATTGGTTGCCTGCATCGCCGTTAGCACTGGCATACCTCTCCTGCTGTATAAACATCTCACATAGACTGTCGTAGCTTTTAAATCTCTCTTTTAGAGCTACGCTCGGCGATCGACGCTTACTTTTTACACTTGCTTTCGACCGACGTGAACGCTTTTGCTCGCCACTGTTACGCTGTTTTCTTTTCCAATCTTTTGGCGTGAGCAATGGCGCAAGAGGCGCTGTGTATGGAGGCTCAAACTCGACTGCCGGCAAGTCGCCTTCACTAAAGAAAACTAAACTTGAATCTTCATCGGCATCGGATTGTGAGTATGCTGAAGTGTGATCGTCATTGTCGCTATTGCTCTGGTGCTGGTGCTGGTCTTCGTCATGGTGCTTTTTGGCATTTATACTGATTGTGTCGTTGTCGTTTCCGACCGGTGGTGTTGCTGGTGGACTTTCCAGCGATGCTGTTGTCTTGGTAGCATATAACTCATACGATTCGTCCGTTTGCAGTGGCCGCATTTGTTTGACGGGTGTATCTGAACTACTGCCAAAAGCATCCTCCTCGTCGGTTTCTATAATTAGAATTTTGAGACAAATAATTTGGCAACATCACTAGCTAATAAACATTTTGAAACGCACGCATTTTTGCAAATTTACAGCAAACACTTTTTTCTCATATGCTTGTAGGCATCGTTAAACAAGATACACACACACCACCGATTGCACAATTATTAACTTTGAATTTACAAACTTTGGCCGAATGCTGGAAGAGCGAAGTACTCCAATTACAACCGCCACGGCCAAACGTGGCAGAATCGTAATTTCACTTTTAATTGCGAACAAACGCGAAAAGAAAAACCACTTCCAACTAGCACCTGATTTTGCAAACCACTGAAGGAAATAAACAAACCAAAAAAACAGCTGGGTGGAAGGGCTGCCAGATAGTTGCGACAAGAAGAAGAGATGCCATGCAGCTTGCAGAAAACATACAAAATTGAGGTATTAAAGAAACCGTGGCTTTTTAAATTTTGCCAGAAAAGCGCCAAACATAGAAAATATGAAACACTTTTACAATGTTTGATTCCTCGAGATAATTGCTTTTAATTTCGAAAACCAAGTTTTAAAATTATTAGTAATGTTTTAAGTTTTTTGTATGTGCATGATGCCTTGATGTGTAACGAAATAAAATAGAAATTGAACAAGCTTATTGTCAACGCGTGCAAAAAGACTGGTGTTTACCATCTTTTCGCTGGACGCTGAATCAAAAGCGATCTATGTGACATGCTTCCTGATTTCCCACGACGGTCGGTTGTACGTATTGGAATGACTCAGGTTTCACCTGACCAAGTCTGTTGTTTCGGCGATCTAACCCCGTTACGTCGGTCGGGCAGGCAACATCCATCACTAACACCCTGGGACCATAATAGCCCAACTGTGCTCTGGTTAGTGCAGCAGGTTGAACTCATACCTGAGCAGATTAAACGAAGATGTTCTCAACGAATTCCCGGCATGCGCAGAGTCACCCCATGACTCACAGCATCTCTTGGTATGCCCTCTAAATCCCACCTATCTAACGCCCCTGTCCAGGGGCTACCGCTAGTAGAGCTTGACGACAACGAAGCAGGGACTAACCGATCAGGGCGGGGTTGTTGTAGCCGCTACAACAACAACAACCACAACTAACACCCCACCTTTCCCACGACAACCGATTCTACGTACCGGAATGACTCAGGTTTCACCTGACCAAGTCTGTTGTTTCGGCGATCTAATGCTGTTACGTCGGTCGCGCAGGCAATATCCATCACTAACACCCTCGGACCATAATAGCCCAACTGCGTTCTGGTTACTGCAGCAGGTTGAACCCATACCTGAGCAGATTAAATGAAGATGTTCTCAACGAATGCCCGGCATGCGCAGAGTCGTCCCATGACTCACAGCATCTCTTGGTATGCCCTCTAAATCCCACCTCTCTAACGCCCCTATCCCTATGGACAGACCCCGTCGAGGCTGCACGCGTCCTGGGGCTACCGCTTGTAGAGCTAGACGACAATGATGCAGGGAATAACCGATTAGGGCGGGGTTGTTGTAGCCGATACAACAACTACAACTAACACCCAACCTTTCCCACGACAGCCGATTCTACATATCGGAATGACTCAGGTTTTGCGCGGCCAAGGGCTGTTGTTTCGGCGATCTAACCCCGTTTAGGTCCGCGAAATCCCTGAAAAATTGTACGTACATAGGGCTACATCTTATTCGCATACTTCTGCTCAGGGCTGGCATCGAGTCAGACCCTGTTCCGGAAATATACATCTGCTACGTGTTCCAGAGACGACTACACTATAACTCCACCCCCGTTACGTGCAACGCCTGTGGTGAGTGAAGTCACCTTCGAGTTTGCTCAGGCCTTACGACACGCATGTAGTGAACCACCTCATACGTGCTCCAACCGAGCTACCTCCACGGCAAACCAGAGTCCGCCTGAGCAACTCAACACAAATATAACCACATCATAACACAATAAAATAGACAACACCACAGACACAACAGACCACACAATAGTTACAACCGCACCACCACCCACACGCCGCCGCCAACAACTCCTATGCATAGCAAGAGGCGGGCAGACAACACACCTCTTTGACACCCCACATTCCAATAAGTCTCCCTGGACACACAAAGATTTTACAATTTAACCGTAACGGACTACAGAGAAAGGTCGAGAAGATAACAATCGATAATGGCGTCTGGGAACGGAATTGATGACTTGTGCTCGAAAGTAAACGGTTATCTCGACGAGCTGTTTGGTTTCTTCACTACACAGAGCCTATCCCTCTCCTCTACAAAACCTTCCGTAACGATTTTTACCACTTGGATGAAGGAGGTCAGACTGCAAGCTGGCAGAACCTGGGGTAAAAACAAAGAAACGTCGTTGGCAACGTACAAGGCAATTGCCCGACCGGTTCTGAACTATGCAGCGCCTGTGTGGTCGCCGGATCTAGTAGGACGCAGTGGATGAAGCTGCAGATCCTCCAAAACACGGCACTTAGGACATCGACAGGTTGCCTTCTGAGGCCGGCGCAACATCACCTGCTCGACAAGGCCCACATGCTCCCGATTCAGGAGCATACCACAATGCTCTGCAAGCAATTCCTAGTAGGGTGTCACCGTCATGTACACCCGAACAGACATTCGCTTGTGAAAGAACCCTCGCCACGGCACATCAGAACGCATCATAAAACAACCTCTGGACCCGTCAGCTTACCGAAAGGCTTTGAATGGTATACACAGAGAGTCAGCCTCGAGTTGTATAGACTCTCGACCTGTGAATGCCGTTCTGGGTACACAACCACCAGACGTTGACGAGACAGAGCTTCGTCTACCTCGGGAGACTCGGACCACAATAGCCCACCTTCGCTCTGGCTACTGCAGCAGGTTGAACTCATACCTTGGCAGAATGAATGCAGACGTGCCAAACGAATGTGCGGGGTTGTTGTAGCCGCTACAAAACAACAACATCTAACACTCCACATACAAATAAGTCTCCCTAGGCACCCGAAAATTTTACAATTTAACTGAAACGGACTACAGAGTGAGATCGAGGAGATAACTGTCTTTGTGGGCCGGCATGGAACGAATTGCGCCGGATAGTATGTGCTTCGTCGAGGTCACGAGCGAGATAACGGTGGTGGCCTAGCGTTCATCTCGTATCACACCCTGCAGTATCGTCTCATCGAAACAGACATCGACCCCAGGGAAAGCTTCATAGGATGTCAGGCGATTGCTATCCTGTCACGCGATGTCGAGCTCGAAATATTTAACGTTTATCAACCGCCTGTCACGATCTGACCGACAGGATATCACCCTGAAATTGGTGCGCTCCTCAGAGGTAATTATCATAGGGAAACACACTTGGCTGAGCAGACAGACGATGCCATATTTTGAACCATGAACGGCGACGCAGCTGCTGCAGCTCGCCTAACATAACAATTGTAAACACTGGTCATATAAACAGAATAGTGGCGACCTATGCTGACCTTAGCATCAGATCATCTTCCCATAGTCATCTCGATTGATAAACCAGCACCAGCCGACATTGCTTCCGCGAAACACCGAATATCAATCTTACTAAAGCTGATTGGAACGGTTTCTCGGAAGTTGCTGAAAGCACTTTCTCTGTCCTCCCCACACCAACAGACGTTCACGTAGGTGAGCGAAAGTTCCGCAGGGTTGTCACTACTGCTGTAGCCCGCTTCATCCCAGTCTAATGTATGTCGAACCCCTGTCCGAATTTTCCTACAGAAGCGGCTGTTCAATCTGGGCTCGAATCGTAACAGTCGTGAACGAGCAACTCGTCACGTAAAAATGACAAAATCGAATTTTGACAGACGTGAACGAACTTCTCATATCGTAATTCGGTATTATGACAGGCGTGAACGAGCGAGTGAACGTACAGCCAAATCTGATATTATTAGCCATCAAATTTGTTGTGCTTGTTATTCTCACTTCTCAAAGAAAAGTTATGTTTCTTCTCTGTGCCACCGTGATCACTTTTTCCCACTATATTAAGAAACTTGAATATATTTTTACCTAAAATTTTATTAAAAATTACTTTACAAACCTTTTTTCCTCGCTAGCGCTCATTTTTTTTTATACCCGAGCGCACTTGTGCACAAGGGTATTATAACTTTGTTCCCATAACGGTTGTTTGTAACAGGCAAAACGAATCGAGATAGATATAGACAAATGTATGCATAAATGATCAGAATGAAAAGAGAAATCGATTAAGCGGTGACTGTCTGTCCGTCCGTCCGTCCGTCCGTCCGTCCGTCCGTCCGTCTGTGCACACGATCACTCGAGTAAAAATTTAGATATCTTAACGAAACTTGGTACGTGAACTTCTTTTGGGCGTGGGACGGATGGTATTGAAAATGGGCGAAATCGGATAATAACCACGCCTACCTCCCATATAACGGTAATTTTAAGAAATACGAAAACTGCGATATTTTAGTAACTACTGAAGATAATTCACTCAAAATTGATACTTACAATGAGTTTCAGACGGAAAACATGAATATTATAAATTTTTGGAAAATGGGCGCAGCCACGCCCACTAATGGTTACATGTGTATATCTTGGTAACCGCTGCACCAATTTCTTCCAAACTTGGTACAGTTGTTGGTCTTAGTACAGCATACTAAATGGCTGAAAATTTTAAAAATCGGACAATAACCACGCCTACCTCCCATATAACGGTAATTTTCATAAAAATGAAAACTGCGATATTTTAGTAACTACTGAAGATAATTCACTCAAAATTGATATTTGCAATGAGTTTTAGACGAAAAATAAGAATATTACAAAATTTTGGCAAATGGGCGTAGCCACGCCCACTTATGGTTACATGTGTATATCTTGGTAACCGCTACACCAATTTCTTCCAAACTTCCGAAAATTTCTAAAATCGGACAATAACCACGCCCAAATCCCATATAACGGTAATTTCGAGAAATACAAAATCTTCGATAAATCAGTAAATATTGAAGCTAATTTATTCAAAATTGATGATTGCAACAATTCTTTACCAAGAAATACGTTTATGACAAAATTTTGGAAAATGGGCGTAGCACCGCCCACTTGTGACACATATATGTATCTCGGTAACCGTTCTAGCAATTTGTACCAAGCTCGGTATGGTTATTGTGCTTGCCACATAAAAGCAAACCGTTGAAAATTGTTGAAATCGGACTAAAATTGAGGCCGCTTTTCATATAACGGTAAATTTCAGATATGCTTGAAATTTCAATATTTCGAAATTTAAGGACGCTAATTTACTTAAAATGTATACACCCCGGCTTATCATGTAGCGGTAGCTT